GGAAAGAGACGCATTCCGTTTATTTTTTCTGAAGGCCCCAGTAGCAGATAGATCCCCCCTGTGCTGAACTGTCCAAAACTCAAATGAATTGCCATCCCAAAGTCTAACCAAAGAGAAAATGATGATTTTCCCATTTTTTCCTGCAGTGAATGAAGGCTTCAAAGAACAACTGAGGTTTCTCAGGAAAGCTGAGCAGCAGGAGCTGGGCCTAATCTCAGATCCCAGCCCAGGCCTTTCATTGCTCTCCACCTGGCTCCGTGCCTAGCATACAGCCTGGCCTTGACCATACTGAAATCATATAAATTCTTCTACGCACGGGGTACAACATGTATTGCTGAGCCCAGCGACTAATCGCCATCCCATCTGCCTTACAGTCAAGGTGTGTGACACGGTCACACTCCTGCTGGGCTGGGCAAGCTGGAGTGACCGGTGAGACAAGCTCTGTCTGAACCCAGTAAACTGCCGGGTGAAGGATGTTCAACACCGCCATCACGTACCGGCCACAATTGTTGACCAGGGGCCACACCATGAGGGACCCAAAAAAGCCACCCAGAGGGTACATGGACACAGTAAGAGACCACAGCAACGTCTGGAAGCCACTGTCCATAGGTGTTCCGCTCCTGTTGAAGTAGGTTTGGTTGTAAAAATCTTGCATGTACTGGAATGAAATACAGAGCATGTTTAGCACAGCAAGTAAAAATTTCACACTGTAAAACCTAGTTATGTCTTGATAAAAACCAGAATGGCTGAGCTGGAAAATGAACTCAGGAAAGGGATGGAGAAGCCTGGACTAGGGAACTGTTACCACAAGTTATCCTGCCTGACAGGATTTGCCTGGTCTCCAGAGGGGCAGACATTCCTCACACCCTGTTTCTCCTGGGTAAAATCCAAACAGTACTGTCACATGCATTAGCATCCCCGCTTTGCCTCCCTGGGGAACCCCTTCTCCCCAGGTGCCTGGTTATTCCGAGCATGGAGAGGGATGAGCATCTGCCCACAAACACCCACAACCTTCTGTTATGCCTTGTTTTGTTTGTCAACCTACTCCTGGGTCATGGTCCACTCCAGTGTCCCACCTACCGGGGCTGGGGAGTTGATCACGGACACGTTGTAGCCGTACTGGAAAGAAGATCCCAGTGCGGAGATCAGGGCTACCAGCGCAAGCAAAAGTGTCATTTTCTGCAGAGAGGAAAGAAAACACACAAACACCACCTTAGAAGCAGGTTTGGCTTTTAGGCATAAATGGCATTCAGTAAAAATAACGAAATACCCCAGGACTTCTGTGTTTTCCACTTCACACCACTGCATAAAGCAAGCCCGATGGGTTGTTTTCGTTTAACTCACTTTGTCCTGCTTGATTTGCACAGTCAGTACAGTAATTCGTTCTACTCTTTCCTGGTATTGATGGTTCATTTGGATGATGAATAATTTATCATATTTAAAATACCACTCCAGAGGGAAAAAAAGTGGATGCAATTATTCCTTTTTTTTTTTTTTCTCCAACTTGCCAATTGGTTAGTGAAATAACACAGGATATTGGCACTGTAAAGCTTTTAAAAAAGAGGAGGTTTTGCGTGGAGTGGCAAAACCCCTTTCCTGCTCATTTGTCCTGTTTTCACATGCTGGCTGGTTCTGCCTCCCACATTTCAGGATAAAGCTGTTTACGGATCTAATCCGATTGCCAGTGAAGCCAATTAGAACTTATCCAAGTAGCTCAGCGAGGGCTTGGTTGCGGGGTAGAAGAGCAGCGCTTCGCAGCTAAATTGCCATCTGGAGCAGGGTCAAACACCAACCACGTTTGGGGCTACACAGTCCTCAGGGTTACAAGCAATTTCTTATTACAAGGATCCAGTTGCTATTCAGTCCTCAGGCTGGTCCTACTGCGTGCACTGAGCTGCTTGGGTTTTACAGGCCACTAATACCTCGCATTGCTGCCACATCAATAAAGGAATTTTTCATTCAGGCGTATCATTTTCTCTCACCATCATTAGCCTTAATGTCTGTGAGGTTTTACATCCCAACACTCAACCCAGGTCCCAGATGAAGGGTCTGAGGTCTCCCTCATTGACTACTTGTCCAAATAGCTGCTGGTCTTCCTTATATTCCTCAGAAGCTCTAGCAGCTCACCTGTACAGCGTAAGGCACTGCAGGAGATCAGCATTCAAGTCGACCTCGGAGTAAGGATCAGGAGGAAGCTGAGGCTTCCAGCTACATTTCTGAGGAGTAGTCTGCTGACATTCTCGCACTGGTGATGAAAAGCAGGCTGCCTTGCTCTCATTAAACCCGTCCCAAGAGCTCAAAAGAGCCACTGGTGTTAATTACCCGCATCCAGCACTTTTAGGAAAACCTCTGGCATACACCAGCATTGTATTGTGCAAGATTCCACAAAAATGCTGCTGGGAAAGGCGGCCCCCATCCAGAAGCATCCACAGCCTAAAACTGATTATAAAACAGGAAAGAAAGCACACACAGAAGGGGACACAGAGAAGCTACACGGTAGGTCAGCTGCAGACAGAGAAAAATCAGGAGATGCAGTGCCACACGGCGCTGCAGACAAACATGAACTGGGTTCAGGAGCATACACATCCCTGCTCCCCCTGTGAGATCAGCTGTGGATATGGCAGCCCAAACCATCCTGGTCTTCTCCTTTCCCTGCACGACCTGCAGAACTAACGTAGCTTGCTCTGCATCGCTGTGCGAGGCTGGAGGGGGGAGTCTCCAGTCTGACATACTCACCCCCTTTGGACCCTCGCTGCAGTCGGAGCTCTCCAGCTTCTCTCCTTCCAACTTCATCTTGGTGTTTGTATCACAGATGCCAAGGACGGGCTTTTATAGCCAAAACAGACAACGCAGGGGATAGAAACACCCTACACGGAAAACCCCCCTGACGTCAGAAAACCCCCATCAACGACGAGCTCTGCCAGCCAGTGTGCGTTGTTGATGTCTGACCATTCCCTCGCTGTGCGTGACTCCCTCGTGTCTTCTCTTTCTTGTCCTTGTTCAGGTCTGTCGCCACTAGATCAGATGTTCTTTTGCCAGATCCTGACTCAAAACGGTGGACACAGGCTCATCGGTCCAACGGGAAGGGGCAGATGTATCACACAGGCTGTTAAATGAGCTGTTTTCCCCCAGCTGTATGTACACGGACAAGATGAGTCCAGGTAGAGCTGCTGCTCCTTCACCCCTCATGGGGTGGGGAGGCTACCTGGCAACTGCTGCATTCCCGGAAAAACAGGGCGTTCTGTGGGAGCAGCTTTGGCGATGGAATGTTCTTGCCAAGGGCCCCAGCGATAAAACTGAACTGCATTAACCCTCCCTGCAGCCACAAATTGTGGATCTTCCCTCGGGCCGAAATACTGCTGGTTGTCCTACCTCGCACGGACCAGCTTGCTCAGGGCACGTCCGCAGTTCACAGAGAACAGGTTCATCCTCTCAGATCTGATTCTGAGAGCGCACAGAACACGGTTTTTCCACCAAAGCACATTAGTTCCGTTCCCTTTACATGCAGGCTACGCCACGTGTTGCTGGCTTAGCATTAACCTCCTACGCTATGAGACTACTTTGAACTGTACAGCACTTGGTTAATAGTCCACTACAATTTCTTGTTTATCAGAGAAATGCAAAGTTCACAGATACCTCCAGCAGCTGCAGAAACCGGAACCAAACGTTGTTGCTTCTGGTCCATCTAGCTGTAACAGCCAGCTTTAAAAAATGCATCCTCTTGAGCAACAGGAATTGTTCATGTCTGGCATTCTTTGACTGGTTACAGCCTCCCTTCCTCCAGGCGAAAGCATCCTGCCCCAAAAAAAGGAAGAGGAAGAGAGCCCCGTTTCTTTCAGGGTAGCGGAACTTAGTCCCCAGACTTCTTGTCGTTTGCCTTTCATTGCGTTTGCTGTAAGTTAACATCCTTAAGGACGCTGTTTTCTAGGGTATCTTGAGACTGGATCACACCTCAAGAACATGCCTGTGTCTTTCAGGAGCTCCTCCTGCTTCACAGGCCCACCTGTCACATGAAGAGAGACACAAACCAGAACATTCATTTCACCCATGGCTCATCTTCGTCTGCCTTCCTCCCCATTCCCACTGGGAGAACATAGCTGGCACTACCCGAGACACTCTGAGCTAGCTCAGCTTTTCCCACGCTGCCTTCAAACATCACCCCAAGCACCCCAAAACAAATGGGGCTGGTCACAGTTCAGTTCTCAATTCCATAGATATTTGGCCAGAGAGGGAAAATGGAAAGTGAACAACTTTTATTAAACTCCTGTTCTTTTAAAACGGGACCATTCTTCTGGAAGCTCTTGGCAGAATGATGCCCCTCTGATGCTCAGTAATAAGAAAGGAGAATTCTATACCATGGTCTTAAAACTCCTTCCCTGAACTTGAAGAAATAATCTTGATACATACAGAAATCAAACAGGACATGTATGTTTGCCATCAGCAATCCTCCCTCAGAGCAAACATTCGCTGACGGCAGCACGATGCTTTGAGTATTTGCCAGTCACAGCAAGAATCTGGTAACAACACCCATAACGGAGTAATTGGCACTGGGATGATCTTGGAAGAGATCGATGGAGACAGGATGGTGAATGAATTTCTCCTTGGACTGAATCCTTTTTTTACAAATAGATGGTTTGTTAAACACACAACTTCTAGGTTATAAAGGAAAACTGACGTCACCCAAACACTCCTGTACTACAGAACCTTGGTTCACTCCTGGAGCCAGGGATCATCTGGTACTATTAGACTCAAGAAGGCAAAAAAAAAGGAAAACCAAAAGGAGAATCGGATTTTGCAATGACCAAGTCAGTACCAACAGTACGAAGTGGTGTAACAGTGCTGACAGTATGTGTGAGGGGTGAATCATAGAATCACAGAATG